ACTTCTCATAGTACGTCTGTCTGTCAAAAAATTTCCCCAAGAAAACATTCTTCTTTTTTTAAGTTTATTTATTTTGATAATTAATTTGTTTTTGTTACAGCTGTTTCTTCTTTTCCCCCCATCGACACCCTTCTCCCAATCCCCCCCCCCCACACACCCCCAGCATTGTTGTCTATGTCCATGGTTACGCACACATGCATATAAGTTCTGTGGTTTATCTCACCCCCCCATCCCCCTCCTCTGAGGTTTGTCAGTCTGTCTTTAAATTTGTTTCTGTGCCACTGCCAACACCCAGCCTGGCCCCAGCATCTGCCGAGCATGGCGGTACCCGCCTCTCAGCCTCTCCTCTTCCTCCTGCCTCCGGTTCTCTTCACTGGTGTCCTGGCTGAGGTGGGCCCCTCACTGCCTAGCTCCAAAACTGAGCATGCTCCCTGCTGCCAGGTGAGTGAAACGTGCACCCTTCTTCCTGTTCTCAGCCATGTGTCCTGAGACTCCCACCCCCTCCCTCTGTCTCCTTCCATAATAAATGGGTTGAACCCCTGAGTCCTTATTGAGTGCCTCTACCCACCATGCACTGGGGCCATGGCAATGAACAGAGCAGGCCAGGTCCTCGTGGAGCTGAGGTTTCCTGAGCAAGTGAGTTCAGGGCTTCTCAGCCCCCTTGCTGCCGGCACCCTTGCACCCCCGCCCGCTGTTAAAAGTCCAGCCTATCTCACTGCCTCCTCCAAGCAGCCCTCAGCCCCTTCAACCCGCAGCGGGGAGTCCCTTTTCAGATTTCCTGTTCCTGTTGTGAGCACCGGTTAGTTGTTCTCTGATGTTTTTCATGTATGTTAGTTTTTTGTTTTGTTTTTCTTGTTTTTTATTTGACTACCTGTACAAGTATTTGTGGTTTCCCTATGGTCACTCATCATTCCTAACTGGACTGTAATATACTCGAGGTCCGCTGGTTTTTATTTGTGGCGCTCACCATCCCCAACGTGTGTGTATCATTTGTCATTGTTGTAGTAGTGTTCATAATGGCTGCTACTAATCTGCAATGACATGCAATGAAGATCTCATTAGGATAATGCAATGACCCAGGCGTAGCAGGAAGTGCTTTATATGCATTTTCTTATCTAATGCGTGAGTATTCAGTACATGATTGATTGACGTAAGTCCTTGCTCAGTCTTCCCCAGCTGTGGCTCTCCGGGAGGTCACTTTCCTCGGACTGTTTCGTCATCAGCAGTACCGGGGGCTGGATGTCTGCTTTTCAAAGATCTTTCCAGCTCCAACCCTTGGCCTGATCCGTTTTCAGTCTGGTCATTTCTAGGGGATCCTTGCTGTGCACTCTGCACAGATTTATGGCTTGGAGAATGTAAAACACACACGCACAGTCCCTGCCCTAGGGTTCTTACCGTCCATTGTAATAACAGGAAGCCAGGGTGCCTGAGAGGTGGAGGACAAGGGAGCTAATTACATCACCAGGAGAAAGCGAGGAGGTTCCTGGGAGTTGATCCTAATCAGAAGCTTCCTGAAGGAGGAGAGATTTCCGTTTAGTTGAAAGGAGGGTGGGAGTACAGAGGCGCCTCTTGGCAGAACCCGTGGGCACAGCAGCTATTCAGTGGAGAACCAGAACAAGCTGTGTTCGAGGCCAACCAGCCAGGCATTTGCTGTGTGCTAAATTTAAAGGGTCAGCGCACTGCTGCCGCTGCTACCTACAGCCGGAGAATCTTGACTGCATCCGAAAAGCATGTGGCGCTCTGAGGGGTGAAACTTCTGGCTATTTGAGATGCATCCTCAGATGAAAACTATTTGCTTTGGCATCTGCACATGCTGAGCCCCGGGGGAGCATCTCTCCCAGAGTGAAACATCTGGATTCCTGATGCAGTTCATTACAATGACAGTCGGCTAATGCCAGTGTTGAATAGTCATAAATATTTATTTTTGTCTCTCCTCATTTCAAAATGGAACTGAGGGAGTCTGCAAATATATTCACAGGCACAAGATAAAAATACAAGAGGTAAAGCAGGAGAGGATAAAAGTAGAAATAATAGGGTAAAGCAAAGGAGAAGTAAGAATGCCCAAAGGCTCTAGATGCTTTTCCCAGAGGTGGACTGCATAATTGGGGCTCAGCATCTTAGCAACTAATGCATTTTGCCCTAAACAAAAGTGGAGGGTTTTTTAATTTTTTTATAATAAACATTTTATTTTAGAACAGTTTTGATTTACAGAATTATTGTGCAGAGATAGTACAAAGAATTCCCGAACATCCTTTGCCCAGTTTCCCTATTATCATTTCTTTTTCCTTTATTGATTTTGGAGAGAGAAGAAGGGAGAGGGAGTGAGAGAAACATCAATGAGTGAGAACATCTATTGGCCGCCTCCTGCATGCCTCCCACCGGGGATTTGGCCCACAACCTGGGCATGTGCCCTGACCCGGAATCGAACCTGCAACCTCTTGGTGCATGGGTCAATGCTCAACCACTGAGCCACACCGGCCAGGCCTCTTTTATCAGTTTTTAAAAATATTTTTATTGATTTTTTTTAGAGAGAGAAGAAGGGAGAGACAGAAATATCAACGTGAGAGAGAAACACCAATTGGCTGCCTCCTGCACCCCCCTTACTGGGGATCAAGCCTGCAACGTGGGCATGTGGCCTGCCTGGGAATCAAACCGGGACCTCTCAGTCCACGGAACAACACTCAATCCACTGAGCCACACTGGCCAGGCCAGTTCCCCTATTATTGACATCTTGCATTAGTATGGTACATATGATACTATTAATGAACCAATATCGATACAATATTAAATCAAGTTCATAGTTTGTTCAGATTTCTTTCTTTTTTTAACCTAATGTCCCTTTTCTTTAAATATTCTTTTTAAATTTTTCAATCACAGTTGACATACAATATTAAAATAAATTAGTTTCACCTATACAATATAGTGATTAGACATTATATACCTTACAAAATGTTCCTCCCAATAAGTCTAGTACCCATCTGACACCATACACAGTTATTAGAATATTATTGACTATGTTCCCTATGCTACACTTCACATCTCTGTGACTATTTTTGTAACTGGTAATTACTTCTTAATCCCTTTACATTTTCCACCCACACCCTCTCCCCTCCCACCTGACAACCATCAATTTGTTCTCTGTATCTATCAGTTGATTTCTGTTTTGTTTTTCAGACTCCACATATGAGTGAAATCATATGGTATGTGTCTTTCTCTGTCTTATTTATTTCACTTAGTGTAATACCCTCTAGGTCTATCCATGTTGTTGCAAATGGCAAAACTTTATTCTTTTGCATAGCCAAGTAGTAGTCCACTGTATATACATACTGTTTCTACTTTATCCCCTTATCTACCAATGGATACTTAGGCTGCTTCCACATCTTGTCCACTGTAGATAATGCTGCAGTGAACATAGGGGTGATGTATCTTTAGAATTAGTGTTTTGTCTTCCTTTGGATAAATGCCCAGAAGTGGTCTCATCATGGCTTTTTCCTTATATCCTTAGCTATAGGTCTTCTGTTCAGCTGGTCTTCAGGTGGTTCTCTGTGATGGTTGTTCTATAATTTAGTTGTCATTTTGACGTGGTTGTGGGAGGAGGAGAGCATAGCATTTTACCTACTCCTCCATCTTGACCAAAAGTCTCAAGGAAAATTTTTATTTTTATTTTGTGTGTTTTTACTTATGTTCTTATTTTTATTTTTTATTATTAAATTTATTGGTGGGCCCTGGCCGGTTTGGCTCAGCGGTTAGAGCATCAGCCTGCAGTCTGGAGAGACCCGGGTTCAGTTCCTGCTAGGGGCATGTACCTCGGTTGCAGTTTGTCCCCGGCCCTGGTTGGGTCATGCAGGAGGCAGCCACCCGATGTGTCTCTTTAACGTCAATGTTTCTCTCTCTCTCTCTTCCTCTCTTTCTCCCTCCCATTCTATCTGAACAAAAAAAATGGAAAAATGTCCTCGGGTGAGGATAAAAAAAAAATTGATTGGTGTAATAATGGTTAATAACATTATATACTTTTCATGTGCACATGATTATAATTTGATATCTGTGTACTCTATTGTATGCTCAATGCCCAGAGTCTAGTTTCCTTCTGTTACCATATATCTGACCCCTTTATGCACTTTGCCCTCACCCCCTTCTCCCTCTGGTCACCACCATTCTGTTGTGTATCTATGAGTTTGTTTTTGTTTACTTTGTTAGGTCTTATTTTACTTTTTGTTTTACATTCCACATATGGGTGAAATCATAGGGTTTTTTGGCCCTTTTCCAGCTGACTTATTTCACTTAGCATAATCTTGAGAGAATTACACCAAGTTTTTGTTTTTCATACAATAATGTAGCATCTCGAAGGTCCCAAGCTTGTATTTGGAGACTTATCCTTACTGATGACAGAGATGACACTGGATAATGCTGGTTTTTTTCATTTATGTCAACTGGTGTTGCAATGAACTCATTAAAAACAAAAGCCAAAAGCAAAGCACCTGCCCAAGGCTTTCTGGCTGCATTTCTGTGGCAGCGTCACAAGGTACCAGTGATTTTACTTAAAGAAACCCCAGCTCTGAGGTCGGAGAGAATGTCTTCTCTTTAGAAAATGTAACTGTCATTTTTATTATTATTTTTTTCTTTATTGATTTTGGAGAGAGAGGAAGGGAGAAGGAGAGAGAGATGGAAACATTGATGAGAGAGAACATTGATTGGCCGCCTCCTGCATGCCCCCCACCGGGAATTTGGCCCACAACCTGGGCATGTGCCCTGACCTGGAATCGAACCGGCGACCTCTTGGTGCCTGGGTCGACACTCAACCACTGAGCCACACGGGCCAGGCATAACTGTCATTTTTAAAGTTCCTTCTAGAAAGGGCTTCTCTCTCTGCCTCTCCCCCCGAGCACACCTCTCCCACCTGTGAGAAGCACTCTGCCCGACCTACCGGGCAGCCTGTTGGAACAAGGGAGGGGAGTGACAGGACGCGGCCGGCCGGTGACCCGCTCTCCTGCCGTTGACAGCGTGAAGCAGAACGAGCGCTACAGCCAGCTGACCCTGCTCAACTCCTCGGCGGCGGACACTGGCGAGTTCAGCTGCTGGAGCCAGCTGTGCACCGGCTACCTCTGCAGGAAGGACGAGACCAGGACGGGCTCCACCTACATCTTTTTCACAGGTAAAAGGTTTGCTGCATCAGGGGAACTCTCTGAACTGCTGGGCTTGCCCATATCCAAGGTTCCCCCTGTGTAGCAAATAATGGCCATCCGAGCGCCCACGCCCTGCAGGCCCTGGGCTCAGTGCTTTCCGTCAATTCGTTCATGAAAATCCCTCAACCGCCCTTCAGGGTAAGTACTAATATTATTTCTATTTTTCTCCAATGGAAAAGTTGATTAAGTCCTAAAGGTCATACTGCAAGCAAGGGCTGTATGAGAATTTGAACCCAGAACAGCCTGACTCCAGAGTTTGTACTTACAGCGTCCAATAGGGTAGCCACTGCACACCTGTGGCTATTTAAATTTACATGGGAATTAATTAAAATTAAACAAAATATAGAACTCAGATTCTCAGTGGCACTTACCATGTTTCAAGTGCGCCATCGCTATCTGGGGCTAGTGGCTAACCTAGTGGACACTGTCGACAGAGGACATCTCCATCGTCACAGAGAGCTCCTTGGGCAGCACTGCTGTGGACTCAGCTACACGCACTCAGAGCCTGTGAGGATCTCCTTTCTGGAAGCTCTGGAGTCACAGGACGCCTGGCTAACGGCCTCCTGGTACTTGTGCTCATGAGCGCTGAGAGCTGGAGTTTGAGGGGCAGGTTTCCCAGAGGTGGTCCTGGAGGCTCCTGTCCCAGCCCCTGTGCCTAAGGGAGGTGCCTGAAAAGGTGCAGGTCAGAGTGAACTCTCCTCCTCCCCGCAGCGCTAGGTGTGTTTTGTCCGTAGAATTGCACATGGTGAGCCAGGCATTGCAGAGTCGGCAGCTTCCCCTGCAGCTCTCTGAACGGCAGTTTGGGGGATGGCATTCTCCAAGCTCCAGTCAGGAACAGCTCCCAGGGATCTGACAAATGCCACCCCCTGGAGCTGCTGTCCTCGAAAGCATTTCAGGTGGTGTCAGATGCTTTCTGAGAGCCTGGGCAGGCGGGTTCAGGAGATTTGTCCACTTCCTGACCTTTCGGACCTTCGTGATTTAGGCCTATGACTCAAACAATCTTTCCGCCCTGGCCTTTCATGACGCTTTGACAACATCTCAGCGCTAATCCCTTCCCGGCCAGAGCGCTCCTCCGGCAAGCACACGCCTTAGCAGAGCCCTCTGCGCTCCTGGAGGCCCTGGGCCTCATTTCATTTGCACGGTGCCCCCAGGAAGTAGAAACTGCTTTAGGATGTCTGCCTCAGAAATAATGATGCTGACGCTGAGACTCGAAGGGCAAAGTGAGACTCAAAGGTTCATTGTTTCAGGACTCACAGTGGTGGAGGAAAGAGTCAAACCTTATGTTGTTGTTGTTGTTTTTAACAGGATCCAGTGTTCTTACTGCCCTAACCCGTTTCGAAGACAAGGTGATGGATGGGTGGATGGGCAGACAGGCAGGCACTAGCTAGCGTAACTGGTGTTGTCAGGGGTTGCTAACAGCTGCCCGCAGGGAGTCCCTCCTGACCCCCGAGCGAGAGCCCACGCGCCGTAGTGCAAGAGCCCACGCGCCGTAGTGTTACGCTGCACTGGGGAGCACCGTGGAAACGGCGACAGATTAAGACGAAGAAGAGCCTGTTATTTTGAATGAGGACTGATCCCCTATTTCAAACTACAGAATGAAGATTTTTTTTCTGTCACAGTGGGCACTGGTATCTTCCCAAACGATTGGTTTTTGAACTGAGATTTTGAGCTGAAGACCTCCCTTGAGCAGAATGTCCCATTAGGATCCTGGGCTCTCTGAGTTTTATGGGCAGGTCTTCTCCCTCCATTTACAGAAGCCCCTTTGTGAATCAAAGGCATGCCCCCAAATTAATATTTACTTCAACGGTCAAGAAACCTGGATCTAAAAGGGATGGGGCCTAATGCATTTAATCATTTTGCCGTTCCTCAACATGAAGTTAAGCGTCCAGTGGATTTTCAGTACAGGGTCTAGCAATTTGTCTTCTGAGGCTGGGTGGGTTTGCAAACCCAAGACGGGCTGTCATGAGCGCTGAGCTCCGTGGCTGGCTCCGGATCCCTTCAGAACATATGCTTCCCCGCTCCCACACAGAGGAACATCTGGCGTTCATCACGTTTGTGTGTGTCCTAGAGTCTGATTGCAAACATGGGCAAACTTCCTTTGGACTGATTTTTGTGTTAATTTGTGCAACTGTCACCTAGTATATTTCATTGTATCCAGGAGGCACTCAAGTGTGTGTGTGTGTGTGTGTTTTTTCCCTCCTCTAACTTTTTATGGACGTATAACAAAGAAAAATACACAAATCATAAGTATACAGCTCCGTAAAATATCCTCACGTCACATATAAACTACCAGCAGATCGAGGAGGAAGACATTCCTGGCAACGGGCCTTTCTCATAGCAAGCTTGGGGCCCCAATCTTCACATGTAGCAAAACCACATTAGTGGGGTTGGTTATAATTTTTATTTTAGTTTATAGCCTATTAACTCTTTTTTTTTTTAATCTAAATTTTCACGTGTTTAGTTTTCTTAAAGTAACGTTTGTTATATCTACTGAAGCAAATACAAACATATTTTCCGGGGGCACATGTCCTCTACAATTTTTTAAAAAAACTTGAGCATACTTTTTTTTTGGTCGATGGAATGTGCTCATTATAAACGAAAACAATTGCTGTGGCCACCTCTCTCGAAGCATGTACAAGAAGTGAGACCGCATCTCCGTGTTCTGAAATTCCGATCGTTATCCTACTGGCTTTGCCCACTGGTTGTTTCCTTTCCAAAACCTTGAAACAGAAGTTGCTTCTAAACCTCACCACCATACATTCCTTAAATGTTTTTGCCCAAAAGATATCTTTAACACTGTCTGCTCTGGATTCCTCTCTTTACAGATGGGGGAGAGACCTCCAAGTCCACATGGGGTTGCTCTTTGTGAACACAGGGCTGTTAGGTACCACGTTGACAAAGGTGCCCCCTTGCCCCAGCCTGGGAGGCAGTTTCTCATGAGGTGGCATGAATCCCCGGCCTGATAGCCCAGCAAGAGACGGAGTCTCTGAGCCGTGACTTACTCTTCCTTGACCTCAGTCAGAGCCCGGCGGAAAGAGCTCCATGTCAGTTATCTCGCATCCATCGCAAAACACTCTTGGCTCGTGAAGACCTTCGATATCTCCAGAAATTCTGTCCCCAACCTAAAACATTATATGACTGTGGCACAAAGAAGGGTAGTGGAGGAGAAAGCCAAGAATAATTGGCTGTTTCAGGAACATGGCAGGAAGAACATGCGGAACAATTTAGCAAATGTTGGGGTATAATTAAGTTAAAAGAGTTCTCTTAATTACTATAATATTCTCTCATCGTGTAGAAAACAAAAGATTTAATGTGCCGTGCCAAAAACAAACAAAAATAAAGTCAAGAGACTTTTGCGTTGAGGAAAGGTGGGTAAACCAGTCCTCGTTTCTATAAAGATAAGAACACCATTTTCGAGAGCTGAAAGACACAGAGTGGCGTCAGAGGAAACAGGAGTGAGAGACTGGCTGGAGGCCCCCAGCCCAGCGGCAGCCAAGCGGAGCTGAGCCTGAGATTAGCGGGTTCCTCTCTGTCTCTCCTCCGTTCCCGCTCCACGGACCTCGGCAGGAAAGTGATCCCCCGAGCACAGGCCATGGGGCCGGGTCTGTGTCCAGAGACACAGCACACTGTTTCCAGGTTTCAAAACTGCTCTGAAGATACAGAAATCAGCCTCCCTCCTTGCTTCCTCAGGAGAGGATCCATGGGCCTGATTCGGACTTGAACTAAGACCTATTTTATTAGAGATGGGAAGTAACATCCTCCTTCTAAAAAAGAAAATTATTTTTTTAAAAATAGCCTTTTCTGTTCATAAGGGCTCAGTACTCAGTATTCTGGTCCCCTCATCTTGTGCCCCGGAGGCATGAATCCATCAAGGGCTCTTCACCACGTTTCTCCGCAACAAATAAGCCTGTGTCTTTTTCTTTGCAGAGAAAGGAGAACTCTTTGTGCCTTCTCCCAGTTACTTTGATGTTGTGTACTTGAACCCGGACAGACAGGCTGTGGTTCCTTGTCGCGTGACTGTCCTGTCAGCCAAAGTCACACTCCATCGGGAGTTCCCGGCCAAGGAAATCCCCGCCAACGGAACAGACATCGTTTATGACATGAAGAGGGGCTTCGTGTACCTGCAACCTCATTCCGACCACCAGGGGGTGGTCTACTGCAAGGCGGAGGCTGGGGGCAAGTCTCAGATCTCTGTCAAGTATCAGCTCCTCTACGCCGAAGGTCAGTGTGCTTCCCACCACGGCCTAGATTCTCGCCGCTTCCAGCGGGTCAGCAGCAGGTACTGCTGCTCCGAAGTATGGGTGGAAATTAGGAGACACTGCATGCTGCTCTAATGGCTCCTTTGCTGCACCGCTGTTTCTAGAATGTTCTACTTCCTTAGCCGTGACCCTGACCCAACAGCCCTGGACTCCCTTCTCTCCAAACCGGTCACATTCACTTGGGCACTTCCTCTGTGTGACTGGTCAGCAGGTCTTCCGAAGCCCATCCTCTTCTTAGAACATCCTCTCAGATGAGCACACCCGCTTTGCGCTGACTACCCTGTCTTCTCGGGGCACTTCCCCTCCCGGACTCAAGGCCCACGTCCTGACGCCCATGTCCCACCCTCGCAGGACCTCTGCCCTCGGGACCGTGGCTACACCAGCTCTCTCATCTCTCCCCGTCACCCCCCAGGGGGCTCGCTGTCCTCCTGGCTCTGTCTTCTGGGTGACGTTAACGTGCACTGGAACCCATCAGCCGGGCGCCCCCACACCTTCTCACTGCACCGCAGACCCTGTCCTGCCCCAGTCACGACTGTAACACGCCGGCACGTCAGCGGCCTGACTTAGGACCGGAGTCAGACCTCCACCTTCCACCACAGCCTTCCCAGGTGGCTGGTTCAGTGACCCCTGGCCCGCTCCTCACCTGCCCCTTCCTCTCCAGGGCCCCAGTGCTCGCCCTGCCCCGCCCGCCGGCTTAGGTCCCAAAGCTCACGGCTTCCACGCCGCCTGCCGACGCCCTGGCTCAGTGCCCCTGTCGCCCCCCCCCCCCCCCAGGAAACACCACCCTACACGGACACAGCTGCACCCTCTCTCCTTGCCAGTGGCTGCTGGGACCGTCCCGTGGGAGGTAAACTCATTCCCCTCCAGGGGCCCCACTTCTTGACAGAATTGAAATGGGCTCAGAGCTGTCTGTTAAACATGGAAATATGTTTTTTTTAACATGACCATTTTAGTGAGGAGTTTCGATTCAGTGGGTTCATCTATGGACCCCCAGTCCTGCTGTATTGAAACCCCCTTTCCTAAAGGTGGTGGGCCCATCAGTGCTATCTCAGTCCAATTCCACACCCAACAGGCACTTGGAGTCAGGAGGACAGCCTTACCCAGTTTCCACGGCTTCATTGAAAATCTTCAACCCCACGTTTGACCCAGAGCCCACGCCTGCTTTGCCAGCAGGCCACACCGGGGGCCAGGGCGTGGGCTGGGGGAGACGGGTACCCTCCCCTCCCTGCTCTGCGGGCCGAGGCAGCTGTTCCCCGATGCAGATGCTGACCTTGTTCACGAACCCGTCTCCCTCCCGGGCCTGGCGCTTCGGCTCTCCTCTCTCCCTGATGGCGCGGTCACCCGGTGTGCGGGCCGAGACCAGAAGTCTGCTGGACACTCCTGCCTCCTCCTCGTCCTTCGGACTTTTCCCACTAACTCACTCTCCACCCCTCCATCTCTCTCCGCCCTCACTGCAGAGTTCAACCTGTCATCTCTTCCTCGCGCTCACGCGAACCCCTTTCCAGCTGGCCTCGCAGGTCCATGTTTTTCTCTCATCTTCCCCCTGGAGCTGATTATCATTCAGTTAAAAGTATCCGGGAAGTCCCCAGTCTTCCTAGAACCCAGGCCTGGAAGGCCCTGTCTGCCCGCCGTCCTCGACCTCATGGCGGGTCTCTGCCACTGCGGTTCCGGTCAGATGGCACCTCCCCCGTCTCCCCCCATGCCTGTAAGCTCACCCCGCAGATTTTAGTTCAAATATTGTTTCCTCGAGGAAGTCTTTGCTGATTCTCAGACTGTTCTGAACTTCTGGAGCACTTTGGGCTTCTTTTTACAGCTCGTGACACACTCCTTTAAAATTAACCATACAGTTGCTTGCTCCATGCCGCTGCTTCCTCTGGAAGCCAGGCCCAGGGCTCCGGTCTTGTCCCCTGCGGTTCCCTGCTCCTAGCACACTGCCTCGCTCAAGGCTGCCGTCAAACGCAGTTGCGTCAACTGACCATAGTGACGTTTCTGATGCTGTGACACAAGGGCCTGGGACGTAGGTAGCATTCCTGCCCCTCCTGCAAACATCTTTTCATTCGATTTAGATGCTCTCCTCTTCTGAGGATGAACAGCCACATCCCCTCTGTCCCCCTCCACCCCCGTGGTGGCCCGCCCTACATTCTGCTTGCTTTCTCCCCACATACCTCCTTCCTCAACTTTTTAATTCACTTCAGATGAGCCTTTGGCAGACCCATTGGCCTCCTCCCCAATCACAAGGGAAATGGCTAGACCTGGGGCATTCTGGGTGATGACCCCACTCGGACTACCATGGCAGAGAGAGGCGGCTTCAGAGAATCCGCAAGCGTGGAGTGGACGCGGCCTGGCGCCGACTGGGGAAGGCAGAGAGGTTACATGTCTGTCCCAAAAAAAGGCTGTGTTCGTAGGTTTGTCTTCAATGTCGCACTCGTGAATTTCATCTCTTTCCCTGTCTCCTGCTTCATTCCAGTTCCCAGTGGCCCTCCATCCACAACCATCTTGGCATCCTCCAACAGAGTGAAAAGCGGGGATGACATCAGTGTCCTCTGCACTGTCTTAGGGGAGCCTGACGTTGAGGTGGAGTTCAGGTGGATCTATCCAGGGCAGAAGGTGAGCCCCTTACCCCAGACTCAGCCAGCTGTCCTGATTCAGGTTTGTCTCCCCGCCCTCACCCCCCATCGAGGAAGACCTTAATAGCATACAAGGTGCAAGAAATGTGTGGGACTATGGCAGGCACCAGGCTCGTTTTCCTCTAAGATGTTGCAGTATATTTACAAATGGCTTTTTTTTAATAGGAGAAAAGGTGACTGGGTTTCATTAGACAGTTCAGTGTACCCTCTTCATATGTGATTTTCATAACCCTCAAATCAGAGGGCACAGGGGCCCAGCCAGTGTGGCTGCGTGGTTGAGCATCGACCCATGCACCAAGAGGTCGCTGGTTCGATTCCCGGTCAGGGCACATGCCCAGGTTGTGGGCCTGATCCCCAGTGTGAGGCATGCAGGAGGTGGCCAATCAATGTTCTTTCTCATGGATGTTCCTCTCTCTTTCTCCCCCTCCCTAATATCAATAAAGAAAAAAAATTAAAAAAAAAAAAAAAGAGGGAACAGAGGTTTGAAAGGGACAGGAATGGCTTCCCTCTTTCTCCATCCCAACCTTAACCTTCCATCTTATTTCCAGGTCGATTAGAGGCCAATCTAACCTCCTTCTGGTATCTTTCTGAGTGTCTCCCATACAGGCTGTACCCATGGCGAGGATCTCTGAGCAGACATCCACGGGCCCCACCCAAAAAGTGCTGAGGCCAGAGATCATTTTAAAATAGACTTCCCATAAAAGCAACTGCAGCTCATTATTTAGCCTCTGCATGTTCTGCTCACTAATATAAACAGCTTTGCTACCAACATGGAACAATCCCTTTGTTGCCAGAAGAGATTTGGCCTCCTGAGATGTGCTCAGTAGCCAATACCCTCCCGGCTTACGGGCTGTGATTGGTGGAAAATAACTCTCCCTGGAGAATGGTATTTTCCAGCCTGCTGGTACCAGGTGCTTGTTTTTGCAGTTGTCACAATTAGAAGACAGTAATTATTTTCAACAGAGATTTTGTTTTGAAATTGTAATTATTTTATGCGCAGAGGGGGGATTACTTTAGTAACACTATATTACAAATGTTAAGCTAATCGAGAAAACACTATGTTCTTATCACCAAACTGGGATGAAACATCTCAAAAGTGACCATCTGACTTTCTAGAAATAGGGAGTTATGTCATCTAGGGCATCACACTGCCCAGCCCTGGTACAATCTTTCTCCTCCTTGAGCCCTCCGCACGTTTGACTTATCATAGTTCCATTTCTCCCAAATCTGAACAGGTAGGAGCTTTTACTCACTTACACAGTGAGTGCGTTGGTTCCTTTCTGACCAGAAATTCTGTGAATAAGAATCAGAATGAGAGGATGAAAGTGGACAATGTAAAGAGAAGGGTAGAACATTTTATCCTTTTTTTTTTTTTTACTAATACCAGGTCTACCTCCTTGGAGTTCCAAAAGGATCAATCTTAGGTTAAGTAGAAACTTACTAAAGGAAAGGGCAGAAAGGGTGAGACAGCATAATGAAATCCCAGACTCTGCTTTGAAAAACAGGCAGCCGACATGATCTTGGTGTGAACGTGCCCCTCCAAGTCTTTCCTAAGCTTGTCTCAGCGTTGAGGGAAGGGGTGCTGTTTACCGCAGCTCGTCCTTCTCGCTTCAGTCCCTGTGGGTGTCATTACACAGGATGAAAGGCCCGTGACGATCCAAGACACGTGGAGGCTGATCCACCGAGGGCTGGGGCACACCACGAGGCTCTCCCAGAGCGTCATGGCCCTCGAAGACTTCGAGACCATTGACGCGGGGTACTACATTTGCACTGCCCAGAACCTCCGAGGGCAGACTACAGTCGCTACCACGGTTGAATTTTCCTGACGTGGAAGAGGAAGTGTGATGAACTGATGGAGAGCCCGTGTGGGTCCACAACCAGCTCGGGCGTTCTCTCGACCAGCGCTTCGCCAGAGGCTGACGCCAAGCACCAAACCCCAGTCCCTGCCTGTGAGACCCAGACATCCAAACTGACCGGAAGTCATCCGGCCTAATAATAGAAGTGTTAACTCCTCTGAGAGAAAGCTGTATTTTGATTGCTCACCTATGTATATGTGTTTCTAGTTTTTATACTAAAAAAGCATATATGTAGACAACTTGATATAATCTTTTCTATTAAATGAGCAAGTTTTTGTAAAAAAAATAAACAAAACAAAACTGGGCTAACTGCTCGTTTTTTTTAGGTTGGCAAAAGGACTTGTTGGTAGTGATGTTTGAGTTACTACCTAAAATTCTATTTCATTTAACCACCATACATGAGCATTTAAAACTGAAGCAACAGATAATTCAACGATATGAAATAGGATATGGAGGCATCCAAAAAAAACAAAAAAATCATAGAAACAAACTTTTTAGTAAAAAAAAACAAAAAACCTGCTGCACTCAGAAGTACTAGTTCTAGATTGTTACATTTAGAAAGATCTACAGCATGTGTTTTTAAAAGTTTAATTTTCCATATAAAATAGATACACAGATCAAGGAAATTCAACTTCATTTAAACCACAGTCATTTCACGTTTCTTACCTCAGACAGTGGAAACTGCTGAAACCCATCAAAAGTTATTTTTCTAAAACCCAGACTTGAATTCAGAAAAGCTTTGTTCTTCTAAGTTTAGCTCTGTGAGCCAGCTGTCAGCCCTGGCCAATCTTGTGGTTGCACTGGAAATTCCTGGGAAATCGCTTAGGAGGAGACACCACGTCGACTCCTGAGCCGTGAGGGGCTGCAAGCTGGTAACACTTTGAAGTAGGTCACAGATTGCACTTCTTGTATTAAATATTCCAGCATTATTTATTTAATCAAGGTAAAAATACACTTTGCATCATTACAAACTAAGCACAATTTTTACACATCTGTATATTTTATGACCTGCCAACATTTTGCATCATATGTGACACATTTGGTTTGAAAGAAAAAAATCTTAAAAGTTCTCTGTTTGGTTTCCTCTCTTCTCTCCAGTTGTCTCCCATTCTCTGAAGACATTTTATACTCACTGTGTAAGATTGATTTCCCCAGACACCTAAGTGGTGTGGAGGAGAGCAGGGGGCAGCACAGGGTTTGCCATGCGAGGGAACTGATGGCAAATCCAGCTTTGGCTAATGACACCGAGAACCACCTAACGGGTAAGCAGAGAGATTTCAGAAGTGGCAAAGAACCGAGTTCGCATTTTTCAGAAGCACACATGGAAGGTTACATACAGAATAAACGACTGAAGTTTGGACTTCAGACAAAATCACGGATAAAAACAAAAAAAACCATGCCTCATGAACATTAATTTGCTATGTAGTGTACATGTAAATGATGACCCAAATATCCACCTCTAGTGTCCCGAGTCTGTTCCTACTGTAGGGGTTATTTGTAGAGTCGTCAGCAATGCAGATTAGTGAGTACTGACGTCACAATGTTAACACATGCAGGGAGGGGGGAAGCCACAGTTCTTCCTTCCACCTCCCCCGAAGTATTAGAATTGGGGGAGGTGACATGTGAAGGCTGGAAAAGAAACGGAACTGCAACCATGGAGGAGAGTTCCAGAAGCCACCTTTTCTACTCGTAAGCTGGTCATTCTCCCTTCCCAAAGGCAGCAGGATTCCTCAAAGGGTACGTGGGACTTAGCATCATCTTCGACTGAATGCTGCGTCACTGGCTTAATCAAGGGACTCCTATTCGTGGATAAACACTGAATCCACCTTTCTTCGTTCTGCTAGCCAATGACTCTCTCCTTCTTTATCCCCTCGGGTTTCCCAAACCTCGTACTCTCAGGTGCAGGCTGTGGTTTATTTGGAAAGTGGTGTCAGCACCTTGAGGATGGGCTGGCTCTGGAAAAGCAGACTGCATCATCCTTGTCCCAGCGAACAGGTAGGAGGTAGAAGGTTTGCTTCTGTGGCTCTGGCCGGGGGAGGGTGTGCGGACGACGGGAGAAGACGACTGTGCACCAGTGAGGACAGCTTAGGGCAAGAGAAACGTAAGGCAGAAGCAACCCACTGCTGCTGCCCCTTTTCTTTACATAGAATTTTAGAAAAATTAGGGTTTTACATTTGCTTGTAGCCTGAGAAAGTAGTAAAATGTTAGGTTCACGTGGGGAAGTTAAAAATCTACAGAAACTGTATCTAGTTAGTTTTAACTGACATGGCTGAACACTGAATGCCAAGGAGCTCCAAAAGGACACAGAGACTGGCAGACAAGGACAGGTCAAAGCTCTTCTGCCGTCATGCGTCTCCTCCCTGCCCCCAGCCAAAGGGCGGAGCCCAGTGGGTGGCAGAGGGTCACGGTGCGAGCAGCTATGGCTCGCTCTTCTATGGCTTTCGCAGAAATGCATACACTGACTTCTCTGATTAGTGCGTGTCCAGAGATACTCAGCTTTTGACTTTCAATACACAGCAAAGGAGGCAGCATCAGACACAGGACACTCCGCTACATGTTTTATTCATACATCCTCCAAATAAAAATCACAAGAAGGTGCCTATGGTGAAGATCATCGTAAAGGTTATAAATCTTTATCTTAAGAGGCCCCTGAGAGTTTTCCCCTTATGCTCACGTGAAAAGGCAATGTTCTTTAAGTGCTTTGTGCGAATGTCCGTGCAGATCGATTCCGAAGTCACCTGGGGAGGAGTCTCTCGGCCAGAGTCACGTGTCCCTCCAGGGCTCCAGCCTCCCGAGGAGCCGATGCCGAGGGGGGGCGACTTTCCAGTTCTAGTGCGGCAATGACACGGCAGCTCACGGGGCTCTTGATCCCACGACCACGGCTAGGGTCGGCCCGCAGACCGGTAACAGTGCTCAGTCTCCCGCTTTCCGGAGCATCATCTGGGCGACACGCTGGGGCTGGGGAAGGAGCCCGAGTTCCTTGGCGACGGGAAGGGGATGGCGGGGGACGTGGGGGACCTGTCGGAGCTGCACAAGTCCCCATTGTGCAGCTTCCACAGCAGCTCCTCGTTCTCCATGGACAGTCGCTTGTTGACTTTCGACTCCTTCTCCAACCACTCCTGCAGGGTGGCCTGCTCCGTGGTAAGTTGCCTTCAAGACAAAAAAGGGCCAGAAACCACCTGGATCTGAATTTCTATACAAATATACCTGGAAAAATGTTTCTTACCGTTTTAAATGTGAGAGTCCAGAAAAACGGACTTTGGAGTAAGAAAAGCAGTCCTGCAGAGCTCCCGGCACTGGCACTGGCCGAGAGCCCAGAGGGGAGCTGGAGCCCCAGGGAAAGCTGCCCTTTGGGGCGAGTTCACAGAAGGCTCAGTGACGCCCCCGCAGTCATCTGCATGTCTCCTGACTGCCCTACATTTGGGGCTGTTCCCTGCTGTCCTGTGATGCTCTTTCTCGGAAAGTATTCTCGGCGTAGCCAGCGGGGTCTGGGAGGAAGGCTGGCGCCTGCTGGGTCACAGCGTTGGGTCCAGGCCCCGTGGCGGAGGCACGAAGTGTACCATCGCCTCCTCCAGAGAGAAGCCCTGGAATATACCCGGGCTGACACCACCCTCTGCAACCCTCTCCGGGAGGCGCCTGGCTGCAGTGTGGTAAGGAACACTAACTGCAGGAGGGAGGAGCGCGGAAACGCAGGGCCGCTTTCTTTTTACCTTGAAATCGCAATGTGCTTGTCTATCCGAGCTTTCAATTCCTCGTTCTCCTGCTGACATCGCTTCAGCTTGTCCACCAGCGCTGCGTTGTTGTCCACCTTGGCGCAAACGAGAGTGCCAACGGTTACACACTGAAAACCGGTACACGAAGCCCCTCACCCCCTACGGCACAGGCTTGACAAAGTGCACTTTGGAGAGACCTGAGGAAAGTTACACTAAATACTGAAATATCTGTACACGGACAAACTGCAAAAGAGAATCTGAAGCAGCAAAACAAAGCATCTAGATATTCTGTTTTCAAATGTGTGTCAGTTCGCAAAAGCCACCTGAGAACTGAGCACAAGGGGGTAACGGGGCTGTTCCAGGTCACACCGTTTTAGGTCCCGGAGAACTGGCGTCCTGACCTGGGCATCCGTGGGGCTGAGTGTCACCGTGGTAACCAAAGGCAGCAGCTGGACACAAGCCTGTGTTTACCAAGGGCACCAGGGCTCCTTATGGTCCATCTTACAAACAATACAAGAAAAATAAAAAAATTCCCACGTCTGATGGAAACTGCGAAGGCCAACAGGTCACAGTTCTGGGCGGCGTTTAATACGGCCTTAAGCATGGTTTCCTCGTTCCTCCTCAGCAAGTATCCACCTCCCAGTGGCCACACACGGCAGCGACGCACAGAGCCCTGTGGAGTGTCCAGGGACCTCCCTGCTCAGCTCAGCTGAAGGCCCCGCGTTCTGCTTTCCAGGGAAACACACTGATCAGCGGACCGAGGAAAGGATACAATCCCAGGAGACCGTTGACACGACGAAGAGTGGGTTCCGTTCCAGCTCGCATTCCAAAGGTAAGTTTTATCACTTGTGCAGGAGGCGGCATCACAGCCCTGTCACAGTGATGTCTAAGTCCCTGTCACTGTCCCGTGCGTCTGCTCCACTTGGATAAAGCTCGTGAGTCTGGGATCCTACTGTTCCTAACATATCTGATCATCCATAAAATGTGCAGGACAAGTCAACCAGGTGAAATAACTTTCTAAAAAACGACACTAGAATGTAAGAAAAAGGGCGCCTTGGAATTCCCAGTAATTACAGAGGAATTCAAGACAAAACACAAGTGAGAAAATCTACAATCACAGACTAGGCAGTGGCGGGCCTTCAAACAGCCTCTCATCCAACCCCTCACTGCAGAGAAGAGGAAGCAGCCGGCGGTGTCACAGAGCTACCTGGCGGCCAAGGGGGCTTCCACACCGAGCCTCCTACCTGAGGCTCCTTGCTTCCCACGTGTCGGGTTTCCGCAAAGACCGGAGCTTACAAATAAGCAGGCAGTGGAGGGCACACCTGGCGTCACAGCCCATCCTTCTGCATCGACCCGGTACAGTGCTGACCACGACCCCCAGAGCTCTTGGCGTGGCAAGAGACAGAAATATGTACGGACCAACACACATTAAAACGTGTTGGTAATTTTACAGCTGGGTCTGTTCTCACTGCACACGACATTCTGAAAAACGTTAATGCATGAAAGGCATCCGGGACAACAAATTAACAGGGTCATCTGAGTCACCGCTGACTGCTGGGGAAGCAGTTAGAGACTTCACAGTGCAGAATAACCTCTGGCAGGAACTGGTAGGTAAATGTACTAGGTCGGGCCTGTTATAAACCATGAGTTCCTTTCCTTCCTTTAAAAAAATCAAAATTTCCTGGTACTTCAGAGTGTGCAAGCATTCACATGGCGGTTAGCCCTTCCTCCCTCAACAGAGAGGTAGCAGTGTCCAGAAGAGAAGCAAAGCAAACACCAAAACCCAAACAAACAAACAAACACAAAAGCAAAGAGAGTGACTCCATGCTCCCTATCGTCCAGGACGAGTCTGGGTTCGAATGAGGCACTAACTCAACAATCAGTCACTCGTAACGGGGGGAGGGACAGGCAGGGCAAAGCACAGCAGTGGCTGGGACTGGACTCCCAGGGGGTGCCCCAGGGCTGGGCCAAGCCCACAGGACCCTGGGCGCAGGGCTCGAACACAGCGCTGGAGAGACTTGCCACTGGCTAACACCAGCTCTCTGTCCCAGTGAACTAAACTCCGCTCACAGTTTCTAATGCTTGTTATTTACCCAACTGCATTAATTTTGTGAAAGCACAGTTCTTTTATCCCATTCTAATTCACAAGCAGCAAGATGAAGAACTTAGCAAGATTAAGTTGCTCCAATGTGATTAATTCACGCATCTGTCAGAGGCCTACGAAACCTGCCCAGAGTTGGTGATTCTACATTATTTAAAAATTCTTCCTATGCCAGTGAAGAGTCCTTGACCACTGAAAGGAAGCTGGATTTGTGTGTTGTGGGTTTTCCAGGGACCCAGAGCCGCTTACATGTTCTGGGGGATAGGGTGGGGGTGGGGGTGGGGGTGGTGTTGCAGAGGGTAGAATTGACCTAGCCTTGAGCAAACATGGAAGAGAAAATGAAACCTCTTTTGCCTTTTGTACATTAGGAGCAGTTAAAACAACTCCGCGCTTCTAGTGCACAGTCGGGTCTCTCTGAGGAGGCCCTGAAAGAAACGTACCAGTTTCTCCATTTTCATCAACTTGACGTCCTGCTCATGCAGCTTCTCATTCTTGATCTCCAGCACGGCCTTCAGGCTGTCTAACTCCTGCTCCAGATACATGATCTGAGGGTTTTTCTGGAAAAGACACAGCGGAATATAGCTTTGACTGACCATTAATTACAACCCCACAGTTCACATTCTTAACATAAAGAATCTTGGTTTAGCCTTAGAAATTAGACAAAAGCGGCGAGAGACGTCTACCTTCGGATGGCAGTGTCAAAGAAAATTGGTGAAAGGAAGAGTTAGGGTGACTTGAAGCGCAAAGCCGTCGGTTATAAGAATGGCATAAAACATCTCATATTTGAAAACAAGCATTTCACTCATTTACCAGCAACTTAATGTGGAAAACAAATATTGGCAGCCCCACACATTTTACTGGAAATAGGAGAAAAACTATTGCTTAACGGTGCACAACAGAACACGGACCAGAAATTCGGCAATTCCATCACCAGTGTTTGAAGGGGAACATGGAACAACATCCCTCTCACACCAAAGTCAGTACCTGTAGGACTGGAAGGATTGGTACACACATCGGGCTCTCTGGAAAGCAACCGAAATGACAGCAATGCCCTGCGTCTTCTGGATTTTTATTTCAATGGGACTGTTGGTCTGGCTGTCTTCTAGGGCAGCGGTGATGCCCCATCGTTTTATTTTGTGACACCCCGACACCTCCATGGTATAGACTGCACACACTACTCAGTCTACTGCAAGCAGACACCTTCTTAGAGCACAACTGCAGGGCAGACTCCCCGAGACGCCTTGCTTCACTTATGGAAATTCACGTGCACCATCCAAAATGTATGATACAAATGGACATCACGAGAGCCACTGAGCAGATGTTTAATGAGGGAATTTCTTAGACAAGAGTCAATGATGTAGCCCTGGCCAGTTTGGCTCAGCAATTAGAGCGTTGGCCTGCGGTCCAGAGAGACCCAGGTTTGGTTCCCGCTAAGGGCATGTATCTTGGTTGTAGTTTGTCCCCGGCCCTGGTTGGGTCATACGGGTGGCAGCCACTCGATGTGTCCCTTTCACGTCGATGTTTCTCCCTTTCTCCCTTTCTCTCTCCCTTTCTCCCTTTCTCCCTTTCTCCCTTTCTCCCTTTCTCTCTCTCTCTCTCTCCCCCCCTCCCTCCCTCCCTCTCTAACTGAACAAAATAATGAAAAAATGTCCTCAGGTGAGTGAGGATAAAAAAAAAAGCAAACTACCCTCCTGGGCAGTGGTTAATGCTCTGGACAATCCTTAGGGGGAACCGGGAAGTGGGCCCTTGGGGACTCCTTAGTCACACCCCTCACTTCTCAGAAGGAGACGGCAAGTTCCTCGGCTCCAAGGACAGGCTCAGAGAAGGTGCTGGAACCAGAGCTGGGGCCGGACTTTCACTCCTGCGCTCTTCTGAACATTTCATGTTTCATGTGCTGTTATCCTTTCACATGATTACTTTTTCTACCCTAAAGAGAGCAAATCCTACCTTGTTTTTGTTAAAAAAACAAACAACAAACAAAAATCACCTTTCACTCTGTCAGTGTTTCACTCTGTCAACCAGAGCGGGCAGGACGGTTCCCACTGCACCGCCCGAGGAGACCGGGCCCTCGCCCTCGCGTGCGGGGAGGGGAGGCCCGGCTGCTCGCTCCCCCAGTCTGCGTCCTCTTTACTCTTCAGAAGCTGCGCATTCCCAGGAGGCTCTTTAAAATCTGTGACCCAGACCATTAGGAAGGTTTACCTTCTGCAGGTTAAATCTAGATTTTTTTTTAATCATTCCTTTTTCTAAGACTATTCCAAAATAAACAGCTTGGACGTTTCATTGAATGTGACCTCGTCTAATTATATTCAGATGTCTCGAGGGTCTCCCAGTGACTGGCAGCTAGAGGGTCACTGGGGGACCCACACAAGGCACCCCGTGAGCTGGCAACAGTTTACGCGGCGGAAAGAGCGTTGCTCCCGCAGCGCCAGGCCCTCTACGTGGGAGAGCAGGCCTCGGAGCACAGCGCAAGCTTGTCCCTCACACGAAGGAGCGGGGCAGGCGAGTCAGGGTACAAGTTCCAAGAGAAAGTTGAGCTTTCAAGAGACATATGTTCTTTTCAAAAGTGAGGATCAATCCATACCATGAAATATTGTTCCGCCAAAAAAAAAAAGGAATGAAGTCCCTACACACGCGATAACATGCGTGGATGGTGAGAACACGTGCTCAGTGAAAGAAGCCGCACACGAAGGCCACACACAGCACGATTCCACGTCCACGGAAAGTCCAGAAGAGGCAAATCCACACTGGTGGGCAAACGGGGTGACTGCTGGCGAGTGCAAGGTTCTCTCGGGCGAGAAAAGGCTCTGGCATTAGGTACTAGTGCACCACTTTGAGAATATACTAAAAAACACTGAATTGTACATTTTCAAAGGTGTATAGATTGTATCTCAATAGAGCAGGCAGCTTAAAAAAAAAAGCGAAGACTTCAAATAAAATCCTGACCTTCATTGATAGTTTTCTTGTCTTCCTGTAAGTATTAGCTTAGACCACATGCAATATATATACTGGGCTTCATCTGCATGTCAGTTTTTAGGATTTAAAGAGAGACACCACTTAAACATGGAAGCTGTTCAATACAGAGCATACTGCAAGGTATGGAAATGATTCCAAAACCTTGCTATTTCTCTAGCTGCCGAACACGAAAGGTAGCTGAGGCCCTGGACGGTTTGGCTCAGCAGTTAGAGTGTCAGCCTGCAGTCCAGAGAGACCCGGGTTCGGTGCCCACTAAGGGCATCTGCCTCGGTTGCAGTATGTTCCCAGCTTTGGTTGGGTCGTGCAGGTGGCAACCACTCAATGTGTCCCTTTCATGTCGATGTTTCTCTCTCTCTCTCTCCCTCCCACTCTATCTGAACAAAAAATGGAAAAATGTCCTCGGGTTAGGATAAAAAAAGAAGAAGAAAAGAAAGGTAGCTGAGGGGCAAAACTCAGTAGTGACCGGGGAGCACACTCAACTTACTAAATTTGCTTTCTCTCTTGAGATTCGTTTTTGTTCTTCTGATTTCAGCTTTTCATTTAAAGCCTCATTTTCACTCTTCAGATCATTGATTTGTTTCTAAAACACAAATAATGAAATGTGGAACTTAAGTCAGCACACAGACACCAGAAACATAGCAAAACATGCACAGAAACACACCAAAACCACACAGACCTCAAACCTCAAGAACGATGATCTGTTTTTTTATACTGAGATGTACCCACCTCTAGGGATTCCTGCTTCTCAGAAAGCAAATCCTCAAGTGATTTCTTTTCTAATTCATGGCTTTCCTTGATTTCTGGAAAGAAGGGATATTTTTTAACATCCTATGAGATCACTATGTTCTGGAGTTGTTAAAGCACATAGAGGCAAGAGTTGATAATAAAGCACTAGGACTATTACTTTATATCTGTATGATGCTTTTATATAAATTAACCTCTTCTCAGATTAGAGGTGACGAAGGCATATATTCCCAGTTTGTTACTGTGAACACTGAGGACACAGAGGCCAAGAGTGTGTAGGGAACACAGAGCAGACTTCTCAGAGGTGGGGCTCGAACCCTGGCCTGCAGACCCCGTCTTCAGCTCCTGTGTTCTCCTTTTGCATGTCATGAACCAAACAGAAATCTAAATGTAAACCCATTTCTAGCAGAAAGGAAGAAAAACAGTGTTTACTAAATGCCTCCCCTGGGCCAGTCACTCCTACATGTTACCATCTTGGACTTCACACAACAACTCTATTTTCTGATGAGAAAGGCCTCTGCCAAAGGTCACGCAGCCAGTTCTCACCACCTGCCCACATGCTTCTTGGTAGGACACAATGAGTTTAGTGTAACAATTCCAGCTACGCGGCCAACTATGTTCTGAAATAAAAAAATGGCTTCTTATTCTTCCCCTTCCACGTCAACCCTTCCAATCATGATGACATAATAAAAAGATTCTTTATTCAACAGGTGACATCTTGCTTTTCACAGCAGTGTTGGCGAGCAGAGTGCTCAGCATGGACCACCTGCGGTGGCCAGGACATAAGCTAACACCTCCACGTCCCAGAACCTAAGGTGGTAAAGCACAACTTTCCTAAAAGGCCTTTAAGTTCTTTTGAAGTCTGCCTACTTGCCAAAGTGCTGTCATTTATAACAAACCATCATCTGCATCCTTAGGGGAAAGGACATTTGCTAACAATGAACAATGCCAACAGAAACCAAAACACCCCAAGCTGAACGCCACGGGGTCTTCTCCGAGGAGGAAAAAGCTATGAATCATTTCCGTTTTAAAACATATCACGCTGTTCCATTAGATCTTGTTCTATTTAAATTGAAAAACAGTATTCTTGCCTGAAAGGGAGGTTTCGTAGGCCTTCTTTAGTAATTCTACTTCTTCTGAGTGGTTAGCTTCAATTTCCAACTTTGAGGTTTCATGGGCAGCATTTAAGTTGTCAAACTGTAAGAGAAGAACAACAAAACAATAGTTTACCAGTAAAATCAAAAGTCCCGAGTTCAATGGTAAGCAGCAACACTAAGAAACTTGACATACAGCTTGCATTCAAGTGAAGGGCGACCTAACGCATGTCAAGACCAACGTCACTTGAATTGCCACTCCTAGGCCTCCACTCTGTCCCCACTCAGGACCAAACACACAGCTCGCAGGGCTCGCTGACAGAAATGGTCAGTCCATCACCAGGAAAGAGCATGTCCGCTGACAGGACCATGGCGGCTCCACTTGTCATGCTGGCCTCTATATCCTCAGTCCCTAGCACATGGCGGATCGTAGGGACTCTACATATTTGCTAAATGGAAAACTGATTTTAAGAGGGAACAAGGAAATTAAAGAGCAGCTTATATTGTTAAGTGAAAAATATGGGTTATTAAACAAGTGCCATTTTAAAAAAGAAGAGGAAATTTGCCCTGGCCGGTGTGGCTCTGTTGTTTGGGCATTATCATTGTTCTGTGTGCTGAAAGGTCGCCAGTTCGATTCCCGGTGAGGGCACATGCCCAGGTTGTGGGCTCAATTCCTGGTGGGGTCCTGCGGGAGGCAGCTGATCAGTCTCTCTCTCTCTCTCTCTCTCTCTCTCTCTCTCTCTCTCTCTCTCTCCCTCTCCCTTCTTCTCTCTCTAAAATTCTATTTAAAAAACATTTTTTAAAAAAAGAAGAAATTCAGTCCTGGCCGGTTTGGCTCAGCGGTTGGAACGTCAGCCTGCGGTACAGAGAGACCCGGGTTCGGTTCCCGCTAAGGGCATGTACCTCGGTTGCAGTTTGTCCCCGGCCCTGGTTGGTCGTGAGGGTGGCAGCCACTCGATGTGCCCCTTCACATCGATGTTTCTCTCTCTCTCTCTTCCTCTCTCTCCCTCCCACTCTATCTGAACAAAAAATGGAAAAAAATGTCCTCGGGTGAGGATAAAAAAAAAGAAGAAGAAGAAGAAGAAGAAGAAGAAGAAATTCAAACCAAAGGTTTAGCAACACAACATCAGAATGCTCACCAGGGGATTATTCCTAGGTAACCAGATAAAAGGTTGTTTTTTTATTTTATCTTTTTCCTTCCCTTTCTCTCACCACATATACATTGCTTTAATCATGAGAAAAAATTAAATATCTTTGTCACTGTTTTAAACTTTTTTAAAAGTTCTTCAAGGGATGTTCATAAAGGAAATGGGTCATCAAACAACAATTAAAACTCAAATAAACAGCCAAGAATGTGCTCAGGTTCCGAAAGCACAGACCTGCTCTTGCAACTGCGTTTTATACTTCTCCGCTTCTTCGATGTAAATGCTCTGCAGCTTCCCACACTCCTCGGTGTAGAACTCTTTCAGCCGGTTCTCTAGCTCGGTCAGATCAGTCTGGTGCTGCTGGTTCAGCTTCTGGACAAATCCTTCATACGCTACTTGCAACTCGTTCCTGGCCTTTTCTAATTTCTCACAGGTGGATGAAGCAGTGACTGATGAGAGATGAAAAAGAAAAAAGATGACCTTTGACTTGTTCAATGTCCTAAATTCATAACATTTACACACAGCTGTGATGTCTCAGTTCTTGGTGGCCAGATTTTCAAACCGAAGAGTACAGAAGTGAACAGTGAAAAAGAACAAGGGGAAATAGGACTCTGGCAGCAACAACACACACAGAGCTATCTGTCTAAGAGATGTGCTTGAGAAAAGCCAGGTTCTCAGTGAAGAGCATCCTTTTACACAGTGACCAATCAGTGCAGGGGCCGCAAGGAGAAGAGGCTCTGATTGGCTGGGTGTCTCCAAGGGCAACCAGCCAGCAGGGAGAAGTGAAGACACGGAGTGGAGAGGATCGGAAAGAAGAAACAAATGGATTTAGTTTGTACTTAATTTGAGCCGATTTCAAAAATACATCTATGAAAAACAAAATATTAGACAGTATTGAAAACAAATCACCAGAGCATAAAAATTTTAGGAAATAACACATTATGAAAGCTACATAACATAATATGACATAATTATTATACAGGATATATTGAAAGGTGAACATTTTAAAAAGGCAAAGTAATCTGGTAAACATAATTTAAAATCAGAACATCCTCCTCTTCACCACAACCAAAACCAGCATTACCAACAGTACACTGTAGAACGCACACACAAATACACACTCCGGCACACGATAATAAGTCCTGAGGGACCTCTATCATTTCTCAGGAAGTCTGACTTCAAACCTTTCCAGCCTTCCTTCACTGATGTTAAGTACAGGTAAGTGGGATAATACAAAACGGTGACCGGTGAGCGTGCTAAATTAATCCTTCCCTCTCTTTTGATAAGGAAAATATACTTTAGGAGTTACAGAAGGAAAAAGATGGTATTAGGGTAGAGAAAAGGGTAGTTTAGCTCAGTGATTATTGTAATGTGGAACTGGCTGGCTCCTGGGATGCGTTCCTGGTGGTGAAGCAGACTTGTTCTCTTGGGAACATGCCACGTGGCAGGAGAACCCAACGCCCGTGCTGATACGGGCTCCTTATCAGTATTCTTGCACAGGTGAAACGGGCCATATTGAAATAATGACAAGAATAGTGTCTGCTAAAGAGAACCCTTAAAATACAAATAAACCCACAAATATTTGTTGAAGGAGAAAGGAACTAACATTAGAAACATGACTGCCGACTGGCACAGAAGGGGGCTCCCTGACGTTCTCTCATCTAACCCTCACGGAAGTCCTGAGAGAACCTTATTTCTAAATGTAAATATATATAAGGAAGCCAACAGAGAAGATAAATAATTTGCTCCTGGGCACGTGGCCAGTACGTGGTAGAAGACTGGACTGCAGGCAGCAACCTGGATCCTGCTGTTTCTGCCCGTGACCCTCCCACCCCACCCGCTGCCTCCTGTGCCAGGACCCGAGACCAGAGGCGGCCTCTCCGCGAAGCTCCCGTCTAACCGAGAAGACAAGACCTACACACCTGAGAGGCGACCACCCAGGGCAGAACCCAAGGGCCTGAGGAAGGCTCTCAAGCTAGTTTACATCCAGCTGGAGTGGTCTAGAAGGTTTGGTCAGCAGATTCAAAAATAATATTTTTTTTTTCCATTTTTGGAAATCTACACATACAATTTGGTATTTTGATCACTTTTAGTGCCCAGTTCTATGGCATTAGTACATTTACTGTGTGCAACCATCACCATCACTGACCTACAGGACTTGCCCTACAACTGAAACTCCTAACCAACTATACAACTCCTCCGCGCCCCTTCTCCACAGCCTGACACCCTGCTTCCCGCCTCTATGAATCTGACGACTCTGGGTACATCATGTAAGAGGAATAGTATCTGTCCTTTTGTGACTGGCTGCTTTCACTTACCAGAATGTCTTCAATGTCCACCCAGGTCCTAGCAGGTATCAGCATTTCCTGCCCTTTTCTAAGCGGGGTGGGATGCTCCCGTACGTAGGCAGACACCACATTTTGCTTTTCCAGTCACCCCTCAGTGACCACGGGGTTACTCCCACCTTCTGGCAACTGAGAATATAATGCTGCTCTGAACATGGAGAAGACTATAGCTGGAGGCCAGACTGTAGAGGCCATTCCATGAAATATCACTGACAACTCAGTCCTTTGGGAAGAAACTTGGGAAGTTATTATTTTTTTTAACGGTTCAGTAAAAGATAATGGTTACGTCAATTACTGAAGAACATCTTCATATTCACTTGTCCTTTTAATGCACTCGTTATTTATCAAAGGAGAAAAAAAATAATTCCAGAAGGCCAGTGTTTGTCAAACGAGTAGACACAACCTTAACTTCTGCTGACTAACGGCACAGAGGGCCCACGCACAGTGCCGGGGCCACGCGCCTCTCCCGTGTGGATTCTGTATTGGAACACTGCAGGGAAGTGGGCAATAGAAAAACATTCTGCAAGTAGTCATTAAAGGTATCAAATAGCTTTCTAGTCAGAAAAATGCCGTTTTCACACAGCCCTTTTGCTTAATTCCCTTGGGATTCCAGATATCAGAGGGAATAAGAAGGAATAACGTGATCCTAGCCCATCCAGATGCTCCTATCAGAACTAGAAAGCGGAAGAGCTTCTGTGTGAAAGCTCACCACTGTGAGCAGGGTGAAGGGAGGACAGACAGACAGACAGACAGGAGGAGGAGGGAAGGGAGGAGCTGGTGAGATGGGAGGGGTGCATTGCTGCTCTTGGTACACAGCCCAGGCGCAGGCGCAGCCGGGACGGTGACCTCAGCCGCAGCTGTGCGCGGACCTCTGCTCTGCGTGCCACCCGGTGTGCCGCGTGCAGAACAGCTGGGCTGAGCGATCACTCACACAAAGGGCTTCACTTCGAATTAGCTGGCCTGGGCTCCTGAGGAAACATTTACTTGGTATGAAGGCTCACGAAATACTTTTTTAAAGGACACGTCCACATAAAGGTTTATCAAGGATCCTCCGAGGGTTCCTGTCACCCCAGGTGTTGGTCCTGGGCTTTTCCTGGCACTTACTACAGGTTAGGAGAGATTTCGCACATCCCCCTGCTTGCTGACTCCATTCTCAGTCTTGTCTCTTCCTTGCTATTCTCCAGAGTCCCACTCACTTGTGGTCAATTAATCAGACACCCAGCAAGGCCAAAATCAAACACAAACTCTTTCAGAATTTAGACCAGTAAACAAGGAGTCTTCCCATACTGTTCTGTGATACCGCTCTCAGGAAGTTATTGGATAAATACAAAATCCACACAGTACAAAGTAGTCCTTTGTCCTGGTTTTTCAAAAATCATTCCATGAGGTGATTTTTAAAAGCGTGTTGGGCAAGGGCACCAAAGCACTGCCCGCAGAAGCCACGGGCTAGACCCGCACACGCGTGGGAAGAGCCACTTCCAGCATCGACCTGGAAATGACAAAGCCAGTTTCCAATACGAAGAAAAGCCTCCCGCTCATTTACAAGATTCGCCCTGAAACAAGGCTCTGGTACAGACGAGAAGTCCACATTTCAGTCCGGGACAAACCAGGTCCGAGAATCCTGGGCTAACGAGAAAACCGGAAAAACCCGGGACACTCCCCGGCAGCTTAAAACATCGATAACTGAGCAAGGAACACATCTTTCCGAAGAAGTGGCGAAATGCTGGATACTCTTCCTTTTCAAATAACTCTTTGGATGACATCTAGAAAAGGCCCAATGTCAGAGTCAAATATAATCTCTGAGAAATAGAATTGGATTTACCCCAGGTCCTCTCGCAGTTATCCCCAAGGAGAGGAAATGGAGCCATTACGTAATTAGTCTGGCGCCTTCCCAAGACGGGGAGGTCAGATTTTTATTATTTCCATCTCGTGGAGACTAATTTCCCTTTGGCGACTGATAAACGGACTGTTTGCAGAGAAAACCATCAGATAACCATGGTCCTAAACTTTAATATTCTTTTGAGATACAGAAATTTCTTGGTTTTTATGTCTGAATAGCACGCTTCACCATGAGACAACCACACGTTTTAATTCTCAAGAACATTAACATGTCTTAATGGAAAAGAGCTAGAATTCTTAGATTCAGATCTCAGCCACACCATCTAACTGCTCTGTGATCTGAACAAATTATGTAACCTTTCTGAACCTGCATTTCCTCATTTTTTAAATGGAGACAATATTTTAGTGTCTTTCCTGCAGGATAAAATAAAATCCATGTGAAGCAGCTGGCCCAGTGCCTAACCAGAGAAAGTATGCAGTAGATGTCACTGTTATTCACAGCCTTGCAAAAGCCCACCAGTTCAAATGTGTCTGATGAGCCCTCAAAGACATGCTTGGGGTTCCGTGACAGCATGTGCCAGTTGACAAGAAGACCTGCTTGTCTAGCATTCAGAGAAGATAAATACACATGTGCGCACATCCACATCCAATCTCCTCTTTCAACTCTCTTGTTCTTGACATTCTATGCAGTAGAATTTTCCCAATTTTTCAGTCATTTTATCTAAACTGGACATAGAATATAAAAAAAAAAAAGAAAAGAAAAAAATAAAACTGGGGAGGTAAGGTCACCTGGCAGAGCCTGTAAATAAATGTCTGTGATGACATATAAAAGATCATGACAGAAAGAAAGACAAACCAGAAAAGAAGACTTCATTCCCCAACTGTACACGCATGCTTTCTCCGGATGCTCCCAGCAGGCTGGCCGTGGGTGCCAGCCCTTCCCTGCGCAGAGATCCCCTTCTCGGCCCCATCCACGAGGCAAACGAGACGCCTGTACCCCTCTCTGCTTGCCTTTTTTGGGTCCCTCCCTCCATCTCTCTGGCCACCTGGGGAGCAAGACTCAGGCTCTTAGTTCTGGGCACCTTTGCTACTTTCTTCAATAGTACACACCTCTTAGGGTAAAGAGTTTTGTTGTTGTTTTTTTAACTTTTAATTGTGGAATAATTTTAGATTTATAGAAAAGGTACAATGAGTTCCTGTATACCCCTCACCTGGCTGCCCCAAGTATTAACATCTTACATAACATTTCTCTTACTTCTCCTGTG